AAACAGACTGCGTGGTCAAAGGTTCCAGTCACCAGAAGAAGCAATTGACGCATTCAAAAATGCCGTTCTGGATCTGCCAGCAAACGAGTGGAATAAGTGCTTCGAAAATTGGTTCGAGCCCATGCAGATGTGTATTAATCTTCGAGGAGAATACTTCGAAAAAGAATAGACTCATTTAAAACTACCTACCGTGTTGTTTTATTTCCATATGCAAAACTTAAAAACATCTCTCGTAATAATCCAAAAATTTGAAAGTACTGGTTTTGTTAATAGAACCTGGAAATATTGTGTCCTTATCGAATCACCATTAATGATCGGATAAACTATAGGTACACATGGACTTCTATGTTGCATTCTCCTATGTCTTGCAAAATCAAACTCTTAGCTTAATTTTTCTAGAATCCCATTACCCAAAACGTTGATGTGTGACAGTTATGAAAATTTGGGTTATATTTTTCTGGTTATCATTATGACTCCGCCTATCCCCCGTTTCCGACTTGGCGTCGACCTCGGGGATATGAGCTAGTTGTAAAAAAATAAATGAAACATTCTCTCTTTGACTTCAACTTCTCTTATACGTCTATCTTTACAAAATAAAGTTTGCTTTCCTCATAGTTGGACTCTGCTCACTGTCCAAGCGACCATAATGAAAACTCTCCCAAAACCTTGAAGCAAAATCTCTGCAAAAACAACTGGAGGACGCACGTAGACGACAGACAATCAGATAAAAGCATCGAGCGATCAAATCTTTTTTGTCAGATATCTGTGAGTTGATTTAATTGACTGGTTGATACCACGATCACAAATTGGATTAGACTCATCGACAGAGAGGAAAGGATTGAAAGTGAAGAAGGGACAACATGGAAGGGTTTTGATGTGAAACGAGAAAAGTTAATAAGGCCGTTTTTCGGCCTAAATTTAATTTGGATGAAAATGTTCAAAATCAGTTCGTGCAGTATCAGGTAACCAAGTAAGTTCGTGCGGTTGCTGAATATCGCACATTGCCATGGATGTTGTTGATCGATAGCGATTGTTTGTCCCCTGATGTCACTTTAGTGTGAATCCTTTTTCTTTCACACACATAAAAGGTTGCTGAAAATTGTTACATACCTAGTTTTGATAATTGAAAATGGCGACGAATAAAACAGTAATTCGTAGTTGTTTACTGTATGAGTACAAACTTGGTACACAAGCTGCAGCGGCGGAGCGAAGAATATGTATCACATTCGGAGATGATGCCGTTAATGATCGAACAGCACAGAAGTGAAGAATTTTCTTCGGGAGATCTCAGTTTGAGCGATGAGCCGTGCTCAGGGAGGCCAAAAATACTGAACAACGTGTATCTTCGACAGGGTGTCCAGGACAACGTGCCAAGAACTTGCAGAAATGTTCAGAGTGAGTCCTGAAACTATTCGTTTGCATCTTCATCAGTTAGGAAAGAGGTGGAAGTTAAGCCCACATGAAATGACAAACGATAACAAATTAAGTCGTCTTACCATTTGTGCAGCAAACATTTCACGCAACGCTAATGAACCATTTCTTAATCGGTTATTAACCTGCGATGAAAAATGGATCTTGTATTCGTTCGTATCATTGGTTGTCGCCTACTGATTCGGTACCACACACGCCCAAGGCTTCCTTGCACCCAAACAAGGTTTTGTTGTGTGTTTGGTGGACAGCAACTGGAATTGTCCATTAAGAGTTTTTGGAAAGGGGTCAAACCATCACTGCTAACTTGTATTGTGAGCAGCTTCAACGTGTACGACCAGCACTCATCCAGAAACAGCCTTCTTTGATCAATCGGAAGAAAGTGATATTCTTGCAGGATAACGCCAAGCCTCATGTCGCAAAAGTGACCCGAGAAAAAATTTCTGAACTCGACTGGGAAACGTTATTGCACCCACCATATTCTCCCAACATTTCGCCTAGTGATTATCACCTTTTTTTGTCTCTAGTCCGCCAACTCCAAACTGTAGAGTAGTGAGAACACTGCACGTATTGTTGTGAAACTTTGAATTTAAGTTTACTAAAGAGTGAGGTTAAGATTCAGTACTGACGTTCGATCCGCGCGGCCTACTATGTTTCTATATGCAAAACTTAAAAGACATCCCTCGTACTGAATACTGTTCGGTGCTGTAGACCACTGTGCATCGTTACAACATGGTAACACACGTTTGTTTTAAACTTGTGAAAAGCCTCACGTCGACTTGTTCATGAACTGGAAACTTCAAGCTGTTTTCGGATGTTCCATTATCGATAACATCGATGTCCATACAGATTCTCGCGTTGTTTTTCTCAAACTTCAACCCTAATTATATCAATATCGCCGATAGAAAATCTAATGATCAAGTTCTCCCTGTTAGTCCCTGTTCATCACCTGCCGAAAGATAAACTGGATGGTCGTAGATGGCGATTGACAAGGATGCTCAATCGATACAATTAAACATGGGTGTCGGGCAAAAAGGTATAGAAAGGATACAATGTTTATGATGGGAGTATAATATCCGAGATAGCACAAGCACGTAAAAATGATGCCGAAATTTGGTGATAACTCGCCTGTTGACGTAATTGGTCCAAATATTGACGTCGTAATGACGTCTACTGAATGTCCAATTGTGTACGTGTAAGGTAGGACGTTATTATGACGTTTTATTTAAGCTTCAAATCAATAAATTCTCAAAACTACTGAACTGAAGTACATTAATTTTATATCATTATAATTAATATAATATAATAAATATAATTTAAAGACCTTTAAAATAAGGTATCACTCGACCCCCTTTTCCTTTTAAGATTTTGGGGGTGATATCACCCCTGCTTAGGGGGCTGCATGTGCTAACGTGATTTTTTGCCGAACTTGTGTCCCCTACGAAAACAAAATCGACAGGTCTGGGCGTTTTTCAATAAAAAAACTGAGCTGCCAGTAAATGCGTCTGTTTCGTTTTCGATGCTCCACCCCGTATATGGATTTTCAAAGCTTCTAAATCATATTGGACTGAATGGAAGCATGAGCAGTACCATACGAGTATTTAACTAATATCATCTCATCAACTTTTAGGTAACTTATATATTGGGCTTCAGTTGCCACCTCTGTTTCGTACTCCCATGGCTAGGGCGAGTCTATCGATCAGCGTTAATGACTGTGGCCCGATGATGCTTGTAACAAGCAGCTTCCGATACTGCTTCACTATATGGACTCGACTAACGATCTGTTGTTTTTCCGGAAGCCTCGTTCACCTACCTTTTTTATCTCACGTAGCGTCACCGGTGGCAACTAGTCTTCGAGATTTGTCAAAGTGGTTGAAAACTAAAGATATTGTTTATAAGCTGAATCATATATGTTGTAGAATTGTGAATTTTCGGTTGGCTCATAAGTATATATACTAAGTGACATATAAATCCGAACACCCAGCTTAAATGGTTTTATTTTAATAAAAGTTGGTGAATGTATTTATCTTACTGTAAATAACAAGTGAAACAATTTTCAGCCTTATCAGTTGGACATTCCGGTTTTTATACTGCTTTTTTTTAATTCACTAACGCTCTAAAAATGAATATTTCAGTCGCAGTAAAGGATCAACGTTGGTGGATTTTGGTTCTTGACATCCTTTACGATCGGTTACGATGCCTAGAGTACGGAGACCTGTACGATTTCGTTTGATAGGGGCCGTATAGTGGGACTTCGGGAAGCTGGACTTTCTTTTCGGGCAATTGCAGTTAGAGTGCAAAGAAGTGTAGACACTGTGGTTAGGTGTTGTCAGGCATGGCTTCGAGAAGGCCGTACGCAAAGAGCAAGGGGCACTCGACGCCGCCGTAGAACAACAGACCGTGAAGATCGCCGCCTAAGATTATTGGCCTTAAGGGACCGTTTCTCCACTACCAGGTCCATTGCAAATGAATGGTTTGCAGAACACGGAAGACCTATTGGCATGCGAAGTGTTTACCGACGAATGAGAAGTTTTGGCTTGTTTTCATACCGGCCACACTGGGTCCTCCCTTTAACTCGAGAACACCGACGTAATCGCCTTGAGTGGTGCAGACAACGGTCACTCTGGGATCAGGAATGGAACAGTATTGTCTTTAGTGACGAGTCTCGATTTTGTTTAGGCATGCACGATGGTCGTGCCAGGGTTAGAAGGCGACGTGGTGAAAGGAGGAATCCACAGTTGTTTGTTGAAAGACATGTTCATCACACTGTTGGAGTTACGGTTTGGGGTGCTATAGCTTATGGTTCCAGGTCACCTTTAATCTTCATCTTCTAGAACCCCATCTTTTACCCTATCTTGACACCCTGGCAGATCCAACTTTCCAACAAGATAATGCCCGACCACATGTTGCAAGAGTCACAATAGACTTCTTTCAACATAATGATGTCACATTGTTACCATCGCCACCAAGATCTCCCGACTTATCCCCAATTGAGCACGTGTGGGATATGATGGGTAGGAGATTGCTCAATTTGCAACGTCCTCCTCAGACTCTAGAAGCACTTCGAGAGGAGTTGGTGGTTGCCTGGAATGAGATACCACAGGAGGACATTGACCACCTGATCAGAAGCATGCCTAGGCGCGTTGGAGAATGCGTAGCACATCAGGGTGCATCCACACATTATTAAAGGTCAAAGGGCTTTAAAGCAGTGCAATCATTTTGAAATTTTTATCATTTACTTATTATGCTTCATTAAGTACTTATACAAAATTTTATTAAAATACAACCATTTAAACTGGGTGTTCGGATTTATATGTCACTTAGTATACTAGGTGACTCAATCAGCTTATGAACTCGCATACGGAAAACGTTGGCACTAGAAAATATATCAATTGTCTTTATCTTTTGTTCATGTCACCTTCCCAGGCTACTAGAAACTCTTGTACAATTTTAACGCCCTCAGGCGATCTTTCGACCGATGTGCGATGTGCCTAAGAATTCGCCATAATTACACGCTCAATCCAAGATCATCTTATACGAATAGCTGTTTCATTTACTTTCTTTCTTTTCAGTGGATGACATGGAGCTGCTCCTGAGCACGGCAACATGGCTGCTGCTGGGATCCGGCTTTGGCTCAGCCAATCCGGACGCGAAACGGCTTTACGACGACCTGCTCTCAAACTACAACAGGCTCATCCGACCGGTTGGAAACAACTCGGACAGATTGACTGTCAAGTTGGGACTCAGGCTGTCACAGCTCATCGACGTGGTGGGTATTTAATATACTGCGGAGCAATATTAACGTTGAGACTCCAATTCTTTTCTATTTTTTATTTATATGAGCGATATTTATTATGAATTTGATTTGAAAATACCCTATATTGATACATGCGCTACTCGACGACGGATTCCTAAATCAGTTATTTCAAACTTTATCAGCATCTTGTCTTGTTTCCATGGGCGTTAGACAAAAAGTCGGTGATTCCTTCTTAAGAAATATGAAAAAAAGTTTCTATGAACAAAAAATCAAAAAAATTTCTAGGAAAGAGTGTTATTGCAACTCTTCCAATAGGTACCATGACATATGTAAAGTACACTGGTAATGTCCACCATCGACCGTTTCTTGCGTGTATCTATCGCTAATAGATGGCGCTACTTGTAGTCCTGTTTCTTTGCGTCAAACCTCCAATAAATTTCCTGAAAATTGGCCTAGTTGTCTTTATTGTCTCCCGAAAAATTAAAATTGTGCACCTTATGAGGTTTTTTAGAAAATATACTAAGTGACATATAAATCCGAACACCCAGTTTAAATGGTTTTATTTTAATAAAATTTGGTATAAGTACTTAATGAAGCATAATAAGTAAATGATAAAAATTTCAAAATGATTGCACTGCTTTAAAGCCCTTTGACCTTTAATAATGTGTGGATGCACCCTGATGTGCTACGCATTCTCCAACGCGCCTAGGCATGCTTCTGATCAGGTGGTAAATGTCCTCCTGTGGTATCTCATTCCAGGCAACCACCAACTCCTCTCGAAGTGCTTCTAGAGTCTGAGGAGGACGTTGCAAATTGAGCAATCTCCTACCCATCATATCCCACACGTGCTCAATTGGGGATAAGTCGGGAGATCTTGGTGGCCATGTCACAATGTGACATCATTATGTTGAAAGAAGTCTATTGTGACTCTTGCAACATGTGGTCGGGCATTATCTTGTTGGAAAGTTGGATCTGCCAGGGTGTCAAGATAGGGTAAAAGATGGGGTTCTAGAACTTCGTGGATATAATGCTGCGCGTTCATGTTACCTCTGATAAAGATTAAAGGTGACCTGGAACCATAAACTATAGCACCCCAAACCATAACTCCAACAGTGTGATGAACACGTCTTTCAACAAAAAACTGTGGATTCCTCCTTTCACCACGTCGCCTTCTAACCCTGGCACGACCATCGTGCATGCCTAAACAAAATCGAGACTCGTCACTAAAGACATTACTGTTCCATTCCTGATCCCAGAGTGACCGTTGTCTGCACCACTCAAGGCGATTACGTCGGTGTTCTCGAGTTAAAGGGAGGACCCAGTGTGGCCGGTATGAGAACAAGCCGAAACTTCTCATTCGTCGGTAAACACTTCGCATGCCAATAGGCCTTCCGTGTTCTGCAAACCATTCATTTGCAATGGACCTGGTAGTGGAGAAACGGTCCCTTAAGGCCAATAATCTTAGGCGGCGATCTTCACGATCTGTTGTTCTACGGCGGCGTCCAGTGCCCCTTGCTCTTTGCGTACGGCCTTCTCGAAGCCATGCCTGACAACACCTAACCACAGTGTCTACACTTCTTTGCACTCTAACTGCAATTGCCCGAAAAGAAAGTCCAGCTTCTCGAAGTCCCACTATACGGCCCCTATCAAACGAAATCGTACAGGTCTCCGTACTCTAGGCATCGTAACCGATCGTAAAGGATGTCAAGAACCAAAATCCGCCAACGTTGATTCTTGACTGCTGCTGAAATATTCATTTTTAGAGCGTTAGTGAATTAAAAAAAAGCAGTATAAAAACCGGAATGTCCAACTTGTTATTTACAGTAAGATAAATACATTCACCAACTTTTATTAAAATAAAACCATTTAAACTGGGTGTTCGGATTTATATGTCACTTAGTATAGTAACAAAATGTATCTTGTTTCAGAACCTGAAGAATCAAATAATGACGACGAACGTTTGGGTCGAACAGGTAAGATTGTCTCGGCGACGACAAATATAAACGTCGTAAATTAGTAATCTTTTAGGAATGGAACGATTATAAGCTCAAATGGAATCCTGATGACTATGGCGGGGTCGAAACGTTACACGTCCCATCTGAACACATCTGGCTGCCGGACATCGTACTATACAACAAGTAAGCCTTTTTTTGTTATAATTCTCCGCTCAAAAAATGTAATTAAAATACATGCGTCACGAAAAACCACGTCAATAATTTCCATCGTCCTGCGTCCGCTAATATTTTTTAGACCTTGCCTGGTTATTTCATACACTAAGTGACATATAAATCCGAACACCCAGTTTAAATGGTTTTATTTTAATAAAAGTTGGTGAATGTATTTATCTTACTGTAAATAACAAGTGAAAAAATTTTCAGCCTTATCAGTTGGACATTCCGGTTTTTATACTGCTTTTTTTAATTCACTAACGTTCTAAAAATGAATATTTCAGCCGCAGTAAAGAATCAACGTTGGGGGATTTTGGTTCTTGACATCCTTTACGATCGGTTACGATGCCTAGAGTACGGAGACCTGTACGATTTCGTTTGATAGGGGCCGTATAGTGGGACTTCGGGAAGCTGGACTTTCTTTTCGGGCAATTGCAGTTAGAGTGCAAAGAAGTGTAGACACTGTGGTTAGGTGTTGTCAGGCATGGCTTCGAGAAGGCCGTACGCAAAGAGCAAGGGGCACTCGACGCCGCCGTAGAACAACAGACCGTGAAGATCGCCGCCTAAGATTATTGGCCTTAAGGGACCGTTTCTCCACTACCAGGTCCATTGCAAATGAATGGTTTGCAGAACACGGAAGACCTATTGGCATGCGAAGTGTTTACCGACGAATGAGAAGTTTTGGCTTGTTTTCATACCGGCCACACTGGGTTCTCCCTTTAACTCGAGAACACCGACGTAATCGCCTTGAGTGGTGCAGACAACGGTCACTCTGGGATCAGGAATGGAACAGTATTGTCTTTAGTGACGAGTCTCGATTTTGTTTAGGCATGCACGATGGTCGTGCCAGGGTTAGAAGGCGACGTGGTGAAAGGAGGAATCCACAGTTGTTTGTTGAAAGACATGTTCATCACACTGTTGGAGTTATGGTTTGGGGTGCTATAGCTTATGGTTCCAGGTCATCTTTAATCTTCATCAGAGGTAACATGAACGCGCAGCGTTATATCCACGAAGTTCTAGAACCCCATCTTTTACCCTATCTTGACACCCTGGCAGATCCAACTTTCCAACAAGATATTGCCCGACCACATGTTGCAAGAGTCACAAAAGACTTCTTTCAACATAATGATGTCACATTGTTACCATGGCCACCAAGATCTCCCGACTTATCCCCAATTGAGCACGTGTGGGATATGATGGGTAGGAGATTGCTCAATTTGCAACGTCCTCCTCAGACTCTAGAAGCACTTCGAGAGGAGTTGGTGGTTGCCTGGAATGAGATACCACAGGAGGACATTGACCACCTTATCAGAAGCATGCCTAGGCGCGTTGGAGAATGCGTATCACATCAGGGTGCATCCACACATTATTAAAGGTCGAAGGGCTTTAAAGCAGTGCAATCATTTTGAAATTTTTATCATTTACTTATTATGCTTCATTAAGTACTTATACAAAATTTTATTAAAATAAAACCATTTAAACTGGGTGTTCGGATTTATATGTCACTTAGTATACATCCAGAACTGGAAATGGAAATTACGACAGCTTCTTTGTCCCCTCTAGATTGTGGAATAATCTTCAAGAAGAGTTCTACTAACTTAGGCAGTTAATAAATCGGATCACCAAAATTTCTTGTAAAAAAATCCAACATTTTCCGTTATCACGATATTCAAGTTTATCCATCTTGCAGAATACCACGCAAGTCTTTCAGTCATACAATCCGTGTAGACTAACTACTTAATAAAACAAGTTGAAACTTGTCATACGAACAAACGTGCACCCATTATTATAAATTTTTGCGCCATGTCTGCGTCAGACCGAGAACTTTCCTTTTCCTCCTCGTAGTTGCATCTAAGCTAAAACAAATGCTTATTCATTACATCTTATGCTGCAGAGTATCTAAAATACCTAGAAGAATCGCACAACTCGTTACCGTCACACCTACAGAAGCACATACTTTTCACTCTTACACAATAACAACGTTCAAACGGCAGACGCTGCTCGTTACCGGAACAACCTGTCAGAAGGATGCGTTGCCGAGCTTTTGTTTTAATGGACGTTCGTGTGCGAAGCTTTTCAAAGCTGCCAGCTGTAGCTGCATTCTGATGCTGCAGCTTCGCTCTCTGAGTGCGTCCTCTAAAAGGATGTTGCAGACGCCAACTTTGATTTACGCGATGGAAGTTTTCCGATGTTTTGTGTCAGCGCATAGTGGGCTATTCGCGCGAAAGTCTGGCGCAAATTCGAAAACGAAGTAACGAAAATGAATGAAACTCGTTACTTATAAATAATAGGTCCGCCATCGAAAAGAACTTAGCTCATGATACATTTAACATGGCAGACAATCGGACCTGAAAGTGTTTGGTGTATCTTTCAACATTACAATCTTACGGAAAATTGAGGAGGTTCTGTATCATCCGTCGTGCAATGTTGAACATATGATAACAGACCATATTAACGAGAACCTTCATTAAGAAGCTTCTGATCCCGGTAACAACAGGAAAATTAAATTACATATATTGTATGTATTCTGATTCTAATTCTAATTCTGATTCTGATTCTGGTTCTGGTTCCGGTTCTGGTTCTGATTCTGATTCTGGTTCTGGTTCTGATTCTGCTTATGCTTATGCTTATGCTTACGCTTACGCTTACGATTACGCTTACGCTTACGATTACGCTTACGATTACGCTTACGAGTACGATTACGATTACGATTACGATTACGCTTACGATTTATGATTACGATTTATGAGTTCGATTTATGATTGTGATTTATGATTACGATTTATGATTACGATTTATGATTACGATTTATGATTACGATTTATGATTACCATTTATGATTACGATTTATGATTACGATTTATGATTACGGATTATGATTACGGATTATGATTACGGATTATGATTACGGATTATGATTACGGATTATGATTACGGATTATGATTACGGATTATGATTACGGATTATGATTACGAATGATGATTACGGATTATGATTACGGATTATGATTACGGATTATGATTACGGATTATGATTACGGATTATGATTACGAATGATGATTACGGATTATGATTACGGATTATGATTACGGATTATGATTATGATTACGATTATGATTTTGATTATAATTATGATTATGATTATGATTATGATTATGATTATGATTATGATTATGATTATGATTATGATTATGAATATGATTATGATTAGGATTACGATTACGATTACGATTACGATTACGATTATGATTATGATTATTATTACGATTATGATTCCGATTCCAATTCTGAATTCCTAATCTGATTCCGATTGTGATTCCTATTGTTATTCCGATTCTGATTCTGATTCTGGACCACTGCTGCGGGAAGGGTGCTATTTGACCCATTTTTCTGTTCTACTGATATGCTGACGGAATTTATTTTTCCACCCACCAAACAAACTCTCATTCTAATACGATGTCTCTAGTTATTGAGAATCTAACGCAATACACCAGTTTAAAACTTGTATCAAGAATAATTCAGTAATTTCTTTATAGCAGATGTTCATTGCAGAAAATAGGTGCTACCTTTTGTGACTGCCACCTTAATATGCTATACGAAACGTATTTTATGCTTTTCAGTGCTGACGGTAACTACGAGGTGACGATAATGACGAAAGCCATCCTGCACCATACGGGCAAAGTGATATGGAAGCCCCCGGCTATCTATAAATCATTCTGCGAGATAGACGTTGAGTATTTTCCCTTCGACGAGCAAACATGCGTCATGAAATTCGGATCATGGACGTACGACGGTTATATGGTAAGTAAAAACTAAACATATTGTTTCGTGCTTTTTGACGACTCATCGGCATAGCATAGCAACTATCTTCTATCTAGACAGACAGAAGTACCGCCAAAATCGTCAGCCTTTAGCGGTCTGTGACGTTACAATCAACGAATTCAGACTAGGTAGAAGGAGTCAGTCAAGAATTTGTCCCAAATTCCATAGTCTCTGGTGAGGATGAGAGTGCACTGGGCATAAGTAAATTTTTTGACAATTCTGTCGTTTAGTTTTTAAATTTATCAACTCCCGCCATTCAAAAGTTTTGGGCACAGGTATACAATACTTTCAAAAGCAGTTGCCTGACCATTTTTGTGCAGGAAATGTGTAAACAAATTTAACACCGTCTGACAGCCCCTTGATTCATCCATCAACCTTAATATTGTCAACTCAAGTCAGAAAAGTTTCTCCCAGGAATGCGAGGTCTTCATAATTGTTTAATTCTACGATGCACAGCATGTACATCAGACTGAATTTAGTTACGTTAACATACGTATTTTTGTTGGCAGGTTGATCTTCGACATATTCTGCAAACCCAAGACTCCAATAACATTGATGTGGGCATTGACCTCCAAGACTACTACATATCAGTTGAATGGGACATCATGAAGGTACCTGCAGAACGGAACGAAAAGTACTACAGTTGTTGTGAAGAACCATATCCAGACATAAAATTCTACATCACATTGAGAAGGAAGACACTTTTCTATATGGTACGATTTTCAAAACCCCAACAGCACTATGAGATTCACTGAACTATTTATTGTAACACCGTCGATATTAAAGTCCAATCACAGATGATGCGATTTCGTTATTTTTAAGAATCAGCAGTATCATGTAGGCCATGCATCTAGGTGCAATGGTTGTAAAAGTAGGTTCCAGATATTACTTCTCACACGACCGTCATATAAAAACTTATGAATTCTTCAAGTAATCACAACGCTACTTTTCATACAAACAGCAGAGAAAAATAAAAAAAATTAAAAGTACTGGCTATTCATTTGATGGCAAATTTCAAGCACCGCCCTATCAGCTATGACTTGAGTTTGCAAACAATACTTATGCGCCGTAAAACAGCAAAGGAAAAAGGATAAAATGAAGAAATGTACTCGCAATTTATTTAATGGGAACATCCAAGCACCGCTCCAATATTCACGATTATATACTACTCTTACTGAGCCCACCTCAGCTACTATGCGGCGCGGGATGCAAACATCCAGGAAAATGGTCGCAATACAATCGCAAAGAGTCAACAACATCTTGAAACCACTTACTGTGAATTAACATCAAATCCACAAACACGTTATTGCTGCAGAAATGTGTCATTTTTAGTTTCGATGCATGAACAAACAGCTCGGCTTACCTATATGGTGGGTGTCGCCTGGATTGATAGTCCGCTAATATACTAAGTGACATATAAATCCAAACACCCAGTTTAAATGGTTTTATTTTACTAAAATTTTGTATAAGTACTTAATGAAGCATAATAAGTAAATGATAAAAATTTCAAAATGATTGCACTGCTTTAAAGCCCTTTGACCTTTAATAATGTGTTGATGCACCCTGATGTGCTACGCATTCTCCAACGCGCCTAGGCATGCTTCTGATCAAGTGGTCAATGTCCTCCTGTGGTATCTCATTCCAGGCAACCACCAACTCCTCTCGAAGTGCTTCTAGAGTCTGAGGAGGACGTTGCAAATTGAGCAATCTCCTACCCATCATATCCCACACGTGCTCAATTGGGGATAAGTCGGGAGATCTTGATGGCCATGGTAACAATGTGACATCATTATGTTGAAAGAAGTCTATTGTGACTCTTGCAACATGTGGTCGGGCATTATCTTGTTGGAAAGTTGGATCTGCCAGGGTGTCAAGATAGGGTAAAAGATGGGGTTCTAGAACTTCGTGGATACAACGCTGCGCATTCATGTTACCTCTGATGAAGATTAAAGGTGACCTGGAACCATAAGCTATAGCACCCCAAACCATAACTCCAACAGTATGATGAACATGTCTTTGAACAAAAAACTGTGGATTCCTCCTTTCACCACGTCGCCTTCTAACCCTGGCACGACCATCGTGCATACCTAAACAAAATCGAGGTTCGTCACTAAAGACAATACTGTTCCATTCCTGATCCCAGAGTGACCGTTGTCTGCACCACTCAAGGCGATTAAGTCGGTGTTCTCGAGTTAAAGGGAGGACCCAGTGTGGCCGGTATGAAAACAAGCCAAAACTTCTCATTCGTCGGTAAACACTTCGCATGCCAATAGGTCTTCCATGTTCTGCAAACCATTCATTTGCAATGGACCTGGTAGTGGAGAAACGGTCCCTTAAGGCCAATAATCTTAGGCGGCGATCTTCACGGTCTGTTGTTCTACGGCGGCGTCCAGTGGCCCTTGCTCTTTGCGTACGGCCTTCTCGAAGCCATGCCTGACAACACCTAACCACAGTGTCTACACTTCTTTGCACTCTAACTGCAATTGCCCGAAAAGAAAGTCCAGCTTCCTGAAGTCCCACTATACGGCCCCTATCAAACTCACTAAGTTGACGAAATCGTACAGGTCTCCGTACTCTAGGCATCGTAACCGATCGTAAAGGATGTCAAGAACCAAAATCCGCCAACGTTGATTCTTTACTGCGGCTGAAATATTCATTTTTGGAGCGTTAGTGAATTAAAAAAAAGCAGTATAAAAACCGGAATGTCCAACTGATAAGGCTGAAAATTTGTTCACTTGTTATTTACAGTAAGATAAATACATTCACCAACTTTTATTAAAATAAAACCATTCAAACTGTTACTGGAAAATTTGCTGAAGAGCACCTTGCAAGCGTATGAGGACGAATCTATTGAGATTTTTCTGTTTCAGGTGAATCTGATAATTCCCTGTGTGGGAATATCCTTCCTGTCCATCTTAGTATTTTATCTCCCGTCAGACTCTGGAGAAAAGGTGTCACTCTCCATCTCCATTTTGCTGTCTCTGACTGTGTTCTTCCTTTTACTAGTAGAGATCATCCCACCTACATCTATCACAGTGCCTCTGTTAGGTAAGTATCATGATTAGAATCGAAAAATAGTATATTACGTACCTATGTTGACATATCATCACACAACTTTGAACATGTGGCCTTTTAGCATAATTACAATAGCTTATATGTATAAAAAAGGAGACTTTCGATCAAGAACTCTGATTTCAGTATAATAATAATATAACAATCGTTGTTAGTTGATGGAGCGTATGCTACTCGTTCCAATACATACATTTTTTATTGTAATACTTTTGTGATCAGTTAGGCCGGCTTATCTGACTTATTTCACTTCCTCAGGCTTAACTGAATGCTTATTTGATTTTTCTAGGGAAATATTTGCTATTCACCATGCTGCTTTGCACCCTCTCAGTAGTAGTGACCATAGCAGTACTGAACGTAAACTTCCGATCACCAGTGACCCACAAATTAGCACCGTGGGTGAAAAGGTTCTTCATCGACTTCCTGCCGAAGTTTCTTTTCATACAGAGACCGAAAAAAGAAGAAGATGACAAGAATCACGACATGTTGACAGATGTCATTCACATGCCTCTCGCAGACAAGTATAAACCGTTTGAGAAGTCATCTTTTGACAGCTTTGACCTAGGAATTCCACCCCCTAGGTAAGTATAGGAAGAACAGCAGGTAGCATAGTTTTTTAGAAGGAAGATAAATCATTGAGTCTGTGTCGCTGTATAAAACAGAAAAAATGTAGCTTTTAGATGTTTGTCGCTCCTCCAGTGACAATATTGTAAATAATAGGGTGCATATGCTTGAAATGTACAGGAAAACTATATCTCAAACTTGGTTTTGACCCTCGAGCGTGGAAAAGGGCTGTTTTACGGAGCGTTTAAAAAAAAATATGGCAAAAATATTTCAAAAAATTCTAAAAGAGTTCCTTAGTCGATATACAGGAACCTAAAGAGCGCTATTGGAATGACACTCTATAATTTAATGAAACCTTATCGAATTTCTTATGGTATTCTCGTTTGATTTCAATAAAATTAGCAACTTTTGACAAGCTAGTCATTCCACTGAAAGTTTGCAAAAATTAAAGCGAAAAGGTTTGAAAATTTATCTCCCAGGGATTTTCAGATCGCTGATTACACACGTCCACAAATTAAAAGTGGGTGTGTTTTTGGTTCAGCTTTTTTTTTTCGTGTAATTTTTCACACTGAACAAGGATCTGAAGTCAAAATTTGGGGTCGCTGGACAAATTTTAGTTGTGTCAATTTTACCTTTTAAAGACAAAACAGATGCCTGACTTCTGAAGTTCTCTAAAGTATTAAAAATTAAATCGGTTCGCAAGCTTTCAGGTTCATAAGTATTTTAGAAGTTTTTTCAATAGCTGTTATATAACTATTGTAAATTGGATGTGGTTGTATTCTGAAGTCGACCTGACTAGACTAGAATACAATAAAGTTAGTGGCTACAGATCAGTAAAAAGCTTGCAGTTTCTTATCATAAATCAGTAGCTTAGGGGCTCGTCCCTCCTCCTGGGAGCCTTGTAGAGCTTTTTTATAAGAACTTAAGCAACTACTTGTTTGTGTTCTATACTAATCCGAAAAAAAACCTATGTGACATGCTTTAAGTTCAAGGTGTGTATGAGTCTTTCTCTTTTTTGTTTGAAAAGGAAACTAGATCGATAGTGCACTTAGATATGATATCTGAAAATCTGAACCGGGGGAGTTTTTAAAATTCATACTTACCTTATCTCTCAGATTTGACCATGGCGGTGGCGGTTTCACCTCCTGTTTCGGAGAACCTCCCTTCCCACTCCCATTAACTGGAGGCGATGAGGAATTGTACAGTCCAGCCAGTTGCAGAACCACCTTCGATGGTACTAGCGACACTAGTCCGTACTTTGAAAAAATGGAAGGACACGATATGGAGAAGGCTATTGCCGACTCCAGGTTCATCGCCCAGCATGTTAGAAATAAGGATTCGTTTGAAAGTGTAAGTTGAAAATGATATCCAGGCTGTACCGGGAACCCACGATAATTTGTGAACTGATAATGGTAGAAAAATGAAGTCTCGCAATTGATGGAAGCTTTCTGCAGCTAATTAATGGTGACCTTGAATTTGACCTTGACCATGACCATTTGAAGGTCAAGTCGATTTTTTCAAACCTCCCATTTTGACATCGTAAATGAAAAGAGGGGAACATTTTACGCTCAACTATGGTCTTGATCGATCTTAAATGTTGACCTTAGAAGGTTATGGTCAAGGTTAAGCCCAAGTACGGTGATACAACGAAGGGTAGAAGTCATATAGGGAAGCTACTAAAAGACATTATTTTCATGATTTTCCCCCGGATATCCAATGGTGACCTTGGATCTGACCTTTGCCATGAATTCAAGGTCATATGAAAGTCAACTCCTTTTTAATGTGGCCCTACACTTTTGACCGCGGAAATTTTATGTTTGCAAATGTCTTTTGACATTTTGTAACTCGACCTTGGACTTGACCTTCGGATGACCTTGAAGGTCGTGTTCAACGTCAATTATAAGGTCACCATTTAAAACTATCAATCAAGTTTTTCTCACCATTATTTAAGTGGAGCGTAGATATTATTGGACCACATCAACAAATATGTTTCTAGATACAAATAAGGAACAACTTATAAGGTGTAAAACCGTTCATCTAATGGTGACATTAAACGTGACTATGACCATGACCTTCAAGGTCATTTAAAGGTCAATGACGTTTCCCGTATATCGGGAATTTATGGAGCGGAAAATCCTACGTTCATGCGTGTCCATGTCATTCAAGGTCATTTGAAGGTTTTTAAAAATATGGAAGGTACACGTCAATTTCACAAGTCTTCTGGACTTAGCACAAAGAATACTGCATGGAAATGAACAATTTCGAGAGCTCGACCTGAACAGGAAACTTGTTGCTTGTGTCTGAAACCCTGCTACCCAGACATTATTTTCATGATTTTCAAGATCATTTGAAGGTCAACTCTTTTTTAATGAGACCCTACTCTTTTGACAGCGAAAATGGAGAAAAGGGAAAATTTTAAGTTCGAATGTGTCCTTGACCATTTTTGTAATTTGATCTTGGACTTAACCATCAAGGTCAAAGACAACTTTACCTCAGTTTCTTGATAATTCAGATAAACTGACTTCACCGTTCTTTCCTTGCTGCAAAAATCGACTCGACCTTCCTATGACCTTGAAGGTCGTGTTCTAGGTCAAATCTAAGGTCACCATTGAATAGCTAGCGAAAACTGTCAATCGCGGTGCTTAATTTTTTTTACCATTATTCACAAATTATCTATTCTATGCCTGCAGGTGGCGGAAGACTGGAAATACGTAGCAATGGTGCTGGACCGCCTCTTCCTGTGGATCTTCACACTGGCGTGCATCGTGGGCACAGGCGTTATCATATTCAACGCACCCTCGCTCTACGACACCACGAAACCCATTGACGTGCTCATCTCCAAGGTGGCCAAGAAGAAAATGGCGTTGCTCAAAATGGTCCCAGAGGAGCTTTAACTTAAGTGTAACTATCATAGTGGGCGCCGCATATACATATATTCACTTGAAAGAGGATGGGGGACAAGGGTGATTGTCTTATTCACGTCATGAGGCTTACCGTTATTGCTATAACTAGCTCAAAAAGGCCCCATTGACCTGCTGGTGTAGAATATCAAGGGCATAGTAATCCTGGAAGTGTACGCATCCACTTGAGAAAAATATTGTGGTTTGGTTTTCCACATAATCTTATTAAAGAAACTCCCTTTAAGCAACCAGCATGTTGTCTGTCCCTAAATTGCATCAAAACTTGTTTAAACATTTTTAACCATGCCCAAAAATCACATTTTTGCACCGAGCAACATTTAGGCTTTTTGGGTCGTTCTGAACAATAAAGGTTCTGAGAAACATTTCTCTAGAGCTAACAGCTAAAAAAATTTAATATTGTCAAAGTTCCTAAATACTCTTCGAACATCCTTGATAAAAATCTCGAAGCATTTGAGGGGGTATTGTTGCTGCAAGTTTTTGTTTTGATTGACTTGATAACCTATTATCGTTCTTTAAATTCTTGCAAACTGGATTTTACCACCAAATAATGCACTACACAATCCGTAAGCATTAGAATAACAACGTGGCTCTTTGACATATGAGAATATGTTTCTTTTAAAGAATATTCAAGTCGTGATGCGTATTCCCATTGCAAATATATCAAACTAGAATGGTCATTTCTAATTTTGTTATAGTTTCCCTTGACGCGAACAAGATACACGAGGATAACAATATATAGATCATAATGTAAGAGAATATGGTGTTAAATGATTTTACTCATCCATTCCATAATTATCAATGAGAAACGTTTGAAGGCATTTTGTTGTTTAGTAAATAAGTCTCTCTTAACTTAAGGTCGGATCATCAGTTGTTCTTACAATTGTAGGTCGCCTTCATGGCCTCCTTGATTTTCATAGTGCTCTACTGCTCCGTGTCAGCGCGCTATTTTGAGGTTATGTCACAGATATCTGTTTGTTTCAAGAAGGTATTTCTAGATCTCCACTGTTCCTGTCAGCGTCAGCGCTCTCCTATTGTGATGTTTTCTTTTTACTTGTAGTAAATTTTAGGTTGATATGAATCAAAAGCATTAATAATTTGATGCGAATAGATATTTGTAACATAACCTCAGAATAGAGCGCTGACTGGGAACAGTAGAAAACTATGAAAATCAAGGAGGCCATAAAAGTGACGAATTGTAGGACACCTGTATGGCTTCCTTGATTTTCATAGTCTTTTCTCTCCTCCAGAAATGCTGGGGCATTTCTAGATTTTTATTGTTCCATGTCAGCGGCAGCGCTCTTCTATTATGAGGCTATGTTTTCTTTTTGAATTGCTGGAAATTTCAGGCTGGTACATCAGATGATATAAATCAAAAGCATGAACGATTTGATCCAAATGGATATGAGTAACATAACCTCAAAATAGAGCGGTGACACGGAACAGTAGAAAACTATGAAAATCAAGGAGGTGACCTACAATTTATTGTAGGCATCAGGCAACAAAGAACTAACAATAAATATTTTGAAGTATTCAGTCTCGAAATAAAGGAAATCATTACTTTCCTTTCCATCATGAATACCGTTTTGTAAACACTGATTCAAAATATTATTGTGCGTACGTATATTCTCTATATTGAAAATCAGTTTGCTCATATGTACTCCAATGAAATTAATAGTACATTGGTGTAATATTTTTGGGGCATATCTTTGTAATTGGCGTATAAGACAAAAGTGTTATCTGTGTAAGATATTTTCAAAATAGTATGGAGAAACAACATCCTTGGAGCTCTCTGGATAAGGCTGTTTCAATTCAAACGTCAAATCTTGGATTTAGATAAGCCCAAAACATGCATGAGCAATATGTAATCATAAAAACATTCTCAAAAAGACTCATTTGTTGCAAAATCAATTTTTTGAAGTAGCTAGATTGTGACTTCTATTCTTCATTGTTCATGTTAAGTTTTTATGACTGTTAACTCATTATTGCTGCTAAAGCTAGGTTACCGGGTTTTTTGGAAATAAAAAATCTAATGACACTCCTCAACGGGCAATATTTAACTGCATCATCTAGTACGGACCTGCATGAGCTAGACATGTTTGACACTTGCGATATACAGGGTGGATCTTTGTTAAAAAATCTGAAAAAAAGTTTATATAAACATGGGTCCGGGAATGCAGAGTTTCCAAGATGGAGGGTGATACATTTGAAAAAAAAATGTTTACCTTAACATATTACAGTTACTATAAGCACGTGTTTACATTACATGAATGTCTGCCATTTCCTCAAAAGTGTAATTTTCCATCTTTTTAGAGAAATTTCGCAAAGAAAATTACGGGAATAATTCTTTTCTAGAAGCAAATGTCAAAACTCCACGCAGAAATGATTTTTTGTTTTCGAAGGCACTTGTGATTTCTTAGCAAAAATTAATAAACCAATTTCGTCCAGGGACATACAATAAAATGGTTTTTTTTTTCTCGAAAACGAGTGAGAAACGTGAAAAATATAAGAGGCAAAGAAGTTGTAGTTTTAGATGCTCAATCAAACAACAAATATTAAAGTCACAAAAAAGGCAGTGGCGTATATTTTTTGCCAATAATATTCGCGAAAGTGTCCCACGGAACGCCACTGGACCAAATAATTTCAATGTATTTAGGGATAAATTAGCCTCTTATTGCAACAAACAATACTGCCAAATTTCAACAGAATTTACATATTTTTTAAGATAATAAAAAAAAGTTATATACTTTGAAAACACTGCATTTCCAAACCCATATTTATATAAACTTTTCACCATCCAAAATATCTTCGTCTATTTTTCGGTATAATGCAGCGGTCACATCTCTATTTAATTATACCTAAAGATTTAAAAGACTTACATTTCGGACTTTATTTCAAAAGAAATTTGAAAAAGTGGCTACATTCTATATCTAGGACCCTTGTTTAAAGAAACTTTTTTTCATATTTTTCAACAAGTAATCGCCCTCTAAAATATCTCCGTCTAATTTTCGAACACCCTGTATAGCCGCGTCATATGCTGCGATATGTTTATGAGGTTTATAACCATAAATATAGCCAAATATTGCAATGAAAATGTTGCTCGTTTAGAAGCTCCATAAATAACCAAGGGGTTCAGCAGGCGATGTTTCATCAACTCATCACTTTATTTCTCCTCTAACAGGCAAATTCGTAATTCTAAATGATTTTTATACAATACTATGTTACTACGTTTAATGCACTTTTCTTATACCTTTTACGAAATCACACTGTTTTTGCGTTTTGCTATCCTTATGGTGTTTTATTTCCAGAGAACCACATTTAGCAACTCGAAGCTTTGCATAGTAAAGAAAACTTGTTACTGAGCGAAAGCGTGTCGTTTGTAAATAAATATGCTCTCTGTCCCTTTGAAAGGTTTGTATGCCGGCTCATGTCAATCAATGTTGCAAGACTTTTTGCGATAACGACGATAATCACTAATATATAGTGTAATATTGTTATGTTGTGTACGAGGGCAATTCCAAAAATAAAGACTCCTATGTTTTAGTACAAAAACCATTTATTTGCGATATAGCTTGAAAAAGGCTTCAATGTTTATAGTGACTATGTTGAAAAATAAAAAAATGTTTATATCTTGATTTTTGATACATTTTTGGTTCGTAAGTGAAGTTTCTCCATTACAAAACGGTTCTTACGTGAAAAATGGTCCTCGTAGGTAAGAAAATAGACAAATGTTCAAGCTTATGATGAGGTATCAATTATTGGAAATGGTTTTTGTATTTTAAGAAAAATGGAGGCATTACTTTTACGATTTCCCCGTACTATTGATCAAATCAATAATGTTATTACGATGTTCATGCTGTTTCGTTTATAAGAAATAACGTAGGGTAGTTATCATTATAACAAATAAATTTTTATTAACTCTCATCGTGTTTCAATTATACGGTAGGTAAAGCTTCTTCCGAATCGCCGATTGAACAAATCCACACAATACGAATATACCCTCACTGCATTGCGATTTTTGCTTACGTTGCTATATTACTATCTCCAAATGTTTTTTGCTACCTGTCACTAAGAACTGTGTAAATTATAAAACAAAATTTGTTAGATCGAGTTATTCCAATGTCCATTTAAGGGACTAGGTGTCTATTCTTGGAAACGAGATTATTCAACTGATGACATGTACGCGTAGTTCTATATGTTGGTTTCAGCGACCCAAGTCAGCATTATAATTATGGTTAGGCTCACGTTCCGGACTGAACCATTTTTATGACCTTTTGTATCATTTATACATGGTTACTAAAAATTTAAATGGTTCAAATCTCTACCCTCTATCCGTCATTCAACATGTATCTGATTACGTTTATCTTGTAGATCTAATTATTTAGCGAAACATTGCAAAACTATTTATTCTCTCCGTATCTTTACAAATGTTTCAGTAATCAGCTTAATAGAATATACATTCCTTCAAACGTACTGTCTCTTCTCACGAAATGGCCAGATACAGAACTTCTAGTGTCAATATGGTACAAGAAGGCCAGCAGATGGATCATCATGATTCTGCCGCTGAGAAAACTCATAAAGGTTAGCAAGTAAGGTCTGTCCGGAAAGACTGTCGTCAACCAGTTGAAGCAAAGCATGCTGGAGTGGTTGAACATCAAGGAGCCCAGGATTCTAGAAAATACTATAACATAAATATGTATAAACTGGGAACATAGCTTCCGCTCATCCCGCAGATGGCCAACATTGGAGGCCTTTTTCGAAGTACAAATCAAAATAATGACAATGACAGCATGTGTAACAAAAGCTTGGACCGCATCGATAATATCCGCGATGTTGCCAAAGCTACAGTTTTTCAGAAACTGATAGCAACTTCTGTTTTTTCTATGGAATGCTATATATACATTTTATTGGATGCGAGAAATTCTGAATACTTTTAATTGAACATACTTTGACGTAGTAGTATAGTTTTCGAAATTTTCGCGGTCAAAGATTAATATTCAAACAATAGAAGGTATTTTTTTCACCTAAGCAATGACCGGTATCGAAAGTAATTTCCTGTCATTTCTGACATTCAAAAGTCCATTATTACCCAAAGGACATTCTGTTAAGGAATGCTATCGGAGTCAATGCGGGTCTTGCTATTATCATTATCGCTATACCATACAGCATGTTGGCCCAGAGGTAAGGACGTGAATTCAGACCCAACAAGCTGAAAAAGAAAAAGTACGTTTTGCAATCGTAAATATCCGTTACAGTTGATGCGCCAAATTTTAACTTTGCATTATTGCGATGAACATTGTCACAATATACAGAGTATGTTATATTCTTATAATTTAGAGCATCCTTTTATGTAAAAAGCAAGAGTATTACAACCTTGAAGTTCTATAAAATAGCAAGCAGAGGCTTCCTTAAAAAACTGATATTTTCGTACAAGTTACATCGTAAAAACTCACCCTGCATTTGATTAAATTTACTCACTCATTGTAATATTCGGGACTAGCAGCGTAAATGGACATCAAAAAGTATGCGAATCGTCCTTGAAATGTGGCAGCAGAATAAAAGTTGCTGGCGAATAAGTTCCATTGTTCTTCTTGTGTTAGAACTGTCTCATCGGGCATGATATTTGATGACTGATATTCACGTTGATGTTAAATGATGCTACTCCTTATGGTTAGATCCACTTTTAAGAATTTTTGATGATTGTCGTTGTGATATTTGACTTTGATGACATTTAATAAGACGTCTATTTTTAGACGTGACTATAGGCAAACCAGACAGGATACTAATAAAGGATGGCCACTTCAAAATTTAAGTTTGGCGCGATTTTTCCACCACTTAAGTGTTTGTGTGTAATCTAGAAGGCCTGCAATTTATGTATTACACTCGCCTAGGGTGTTTTTGTTTGCTTTCGGTTAGACTAAGCATGCTGGCTACGAAAATAACACAATTTTTCCCCAGTAGATATAATTTTTTATATGAGTTGTGCAGGTTAGAAGGTGTGTTTTTTTATTTTAAGCAGTTGGTGGTGTTGTGCTACTGTCATTTTTAGAATTTTCTTGAATGAGGGTACCTTTTTTAGATCCCCATAAAGATTTCAGCAGTAATTAGCCATCATTTTGTATGCTCCACTTCCCTTGGTAATAATCTTTCATTGTAAAAACATTTTTTTCATTGCAAAATAATAGATTTCCAGGTTTGCTTTTCAAGTTCGTTCATAAATTCGACAAAATGTGTTTTATCAGTCTAGCCTGTTGTCTATTTTTATGCCAATAACTAAGCTATTTGTACACTTTGCGAATCCCCCTGATTTACGGTATTCTCTTATATCAAATCATAACATGCATTCTCACCTTAACCATCATAGATGTAGACTGAGCTTAAGCAGTGCACAATGCAAAATTAATCTGAGAAAAATCATTCCTCCGAAAATTCGGCATGCTGTGATATGGCAACATTGCATAACAAAAGGTAGCCCGCGTTTTTAATCTAGGAAGTAGGCTGTGACGATGACAGCGAAAGAAAAACTTCAACCGGCCGACGCCGTAACCTTTAAATTATGATTTTAGATTAGAATTACTTGTACAAGTTTTTATATATCGTCTGATAGATCGATATAATGTTTTTAAAATACCGGACACTTTATTCGCGGAGTGTAAACAAACTGGACTGCTATTGCCCTGGTGAGGTTATTCGCAAAACAGGTATGTGTTTATTATTTTTGAATTGTCAATTATTGTTAGTGATAGATAGGTAAAATCAAAATAAATAAGCCGGATAACAATTACTGGTTTACTAGTACCAAATAGAATGCGAAATTAATGAATCCTAGATTTTTAGATTAACGCAAAAGGGACAACGAAAGTGTATTCAGGTAACAACAATTACTACAAAATTGTATAAACAAGACTAGTCTACAGAGGTTAAACTGATCTTTATTATTTTATGTCACTTATGGATTCTATCCGCCTACTTTAAGTACAAGAGAAATGAATGTGGCCTTAAGCCCTAATACTATTAAAAATTTAGATTTTCATCTTTTGTCAATCTTAGCGAAAAATTGACATCTAATTCGCGATCTATGCAACAAATTTACGAATTTTTCTAAAAAAGATATAAAGTAAAACAAAACTCTATAACAAAAATTATCACTTTATTTAAAAAAATAGCATATGTAAATAATGTATGTATAATGTGTCTTAAAAACTAGAAAACGAGTTTTATAAACTAAAACTTTACAGCATCCGCATAATGTGGCAGCTTTGCCATGCGAATCAGAATTACATGTAAAAAGATTTTATCGCTCATTCCGCTATTGTGTAACGAATTTATTTTTTATTTGAAAGATCCACGTATGCCATTTGGTGTGCCTCAGTGCTACCATTGTACCTGAAGAGCTATCTATGGTTAGCCAACCATGTAATGTATTTCGGCGTCCAAGAAGGAAGCTGAAAGATACTAATGCCGCAAGAATGAACTTTGAAAAAGTGTCTGGTTCTGCCACTGTCTCATAGATGGCGATACGATCTCCAGCTCCTTTTTGGCCTTTCTAGTATCTATTTTAAATGGGTATCTTCAAGTAGAATACGTTTAGCAATGTCTGAAAATACCCAACTAAAATAGACATCAGGAAGAGGATTGAAGATCCTATCACCATTTGAGACAGTAATAAAACCAAATAGTAACTGTTTTCAAAGTAGTTCTTTAATTCTCTTTTGTTCTCTACTACTCTCTCATAGATGGCGCTAGTATCTTTCAGCTCCCTTTTTGGATACAGGAGTACGGTATGTAGTTGATTATCTTCAGGTAGAATGAAAGGAGCTACGGATTGAAAGGCTCGGTTTTTTATTAATCTGCCGCTCATATCCATCTGATTTTGAGGAATGAGTTGCATTGTATTTGAGAGCATCGGAGGATTACGGAATTGTGGACATATCTGTGTGTGATAGCAGTTGAAAACGTATCTGTAAAAATTTCATTTAGCCCAAGTTAAACTATATACACGAGGGTGAGATGTTTCAAATCTTATAGTCAGGTACCGAAACGGAAGAGATTAGCAAAACATATGGTACGCCACTGTTAATAACGAGATCAGCGCACCGACTTAGTCGATTCAAAGGTACCTGCGCTGGCAGTGGCGTACGTGTTATGCTACCCTCTTTTCGTTTTGGTACCAGTTAATATTCAAATAATTCAAATATTCATTCATCATTTTTGCACACTGTAAAAAATAGCATCTGATAAATAAATAAAACACAAAAGATAAAGCCTGGGGCGTCACATAAATAAATAATGAGCCTGTTGGTAATTGGAAATAAATTGACAAAAAACATAATTTTATGCACTTTTCTATGTAATTCTGTGTCAATCATCTGATTTTTTTGGGCATAGATAAATTTTTGTTTTCTATAGGTAACGTTTTCTCCCAAATAAACTGAAGTTTTGAAGTTTGTTATGTCCATAGACACATTCTTTTAACATTTTAGGTCTAAAAATCAATGGGATACTTTTGTTTGGCTTTGGCACCATTTTGGATGGTTTGTTATGTCGAACGCAATGTTGCCGAACTTACCGGTTTTTCGGTATTTCTACCGAAATACCGAAAAGTCATTTTCCACGTTTTTTAAAATAATCTAGGTAATGTTTACCGGAAAAGGGCTAAAACCAAAAATAAAGCTAGAAAAACTGAATTATACGTAGTCTCTTGAGATTTTGTAAGATTTTCTGGAGCCGTGACAGAGTAAGCCTCATTTGTCCTTACGTAATGTCAAACACGGATCTTCCAAATAGCAACCTGCCGGTTTCAGAAAATTTCGAGCACCACTAACATAAAACAAATTCCATCAACGAATTGTCTTAAAACATCGTCCATTCCTATACACTTCCACAAAGATCCGAACACTAATCGAAGTAAATTTCCTGATCATGGTTTCCACATGAAGTTCCAATCTTCATGGCTTCACGGATGCTTGTCGATGAGTGAGAGAGGAGACCGTTTCAGTTTTGATCAATCAATCAATGATTGTCATCTAGTGATCGTGGACGTGCGGGCTGTTTGTGATTCCGTCTATTGTATAGTGGTTGTGATCGTGACTGTGACTATGGCTGTGATGTGATCCGGAACTTCCGGCGCCGTTGCTGTGGTCGTGATCGTGACCCACTGAAAAAAAATAAAAAGGAACGTCAAAATTGTATTTCACTCAAATTGAATAATCTGTGACAAAGAAAATAGAACAGCTAGTAAAAGTGCTGTTCAAGTTCTTCCAGAGTATTTACCCATTTTGGAGACGTTCATTGGCCAGCTCATGGATTACTTCCTATGGGGTACTGTTAAGAACGGCTGTTACACTAACGATCCTCAAACAATCGATGTTCTTAAGGAAAATATCCGTCGAGCTATTGATGAAATAGACTCACAACCTATCGAAAATGTGCTTCAAAATTGGGCTAAGAGGATCGCCAGTTGAGGCAGCCATTTAACTGAAATTTTTCGTAACGAGGGTTACATATTATTGAAGAGTGTAGTTTTAATACCAATCATTTTCGAAATGTTTCGCGATTACAATTCTTCCTCGGCAGTAGGCGTTCTCCTTGCACATGATTATTCAGACCAGCAGTGCGTGGGAGTATTAGCGCTTTCTTCAGGTGTGTTTACCGCTTCGTATAGATTGCAACAGGACCGTCAACAACAACCGAAAGGCGATGACCTGACGAACGCGTGGCGTCTTCCTGTCCAGGGCAGACCCGATATGTGAAAGTCGAACGCATTCTTGGCGTATTCAAAGATTCCACCGTGCAGGCGACCAACTGGAAAATCCGATAGAAATCGATCGGTTCCAAGAACGAGTTTGGTTTCATATCAACGCGGAAATCGATGACTGCATATTCGAGAGAGTTTAGAACCGTTAATTTTTACTACACCTAGTGCAGGCGTGGAGCAAAACTCATCATTCTGTTCCGTATTTTGTCATAATAAACCAATGAAAGTTCATTATGTGGACATTCATTTTTGTCGATTTGTCTGTCGCCTTCGTCTATCCAGGACCTCTATTCTTGTGTTTAGGGATTAGAAATTGTGAGAGAAAGTGGCCAAGAAATGCACAATTCTTGAAATCAATTCTACGGAAAAGTGATAGAAATGAATTCTCTTTAGGGACTCGCGATTTCTCTTGGTACCGATCAAGAGAAACTGGAAAAATTAGTGAAGATAGCGCTATACAGGGTGTAAACGTTCTGGTAATAATTATTGAAATGGATAATAGGGGGGGATCAAAACAAGCCAAAAAGTTCATGTGACCCATGGTCCAATAGTCAATAGATTTTTGTCTAAATAGCTTTATAGTTTACAACTTTAAATGCTTTATATCGACCACAATCTTACTAATCTAATCTAAAACGTTTTTAAATTGGGTAATTAACAAATAAATGACATTAAGTTTTTCCAAGTTAAGCCAATGTTTGTAGTCAGTAAGTAAATTTCATTGAATTAAATATTTAAAACACACATGACAACAGCGCGTCGTCATCACCCTTATCGAACCGGCAATCGATCGCAAACGGTAACAGTGGTTAGTTATCGGGCATCGGGCATGTTTTGTTTTTGTCGTCGTCTTTGTTTACAATGTTCTCGAATCAAGAATTCGCGGACATGTTGTTAGTTTACGGTGAAGCTCGTCAGAATTTATATCTTGCAGCTCAAATTTATCGCCACAGATTTCGTCAACGGGTACATCCAGACAGAAGGACATTTGTCCAAGTGTACCAAAGATTTCGAGACAGGTTACTGTAGAGTAGGAGGAACAAATTTTAAATATCAACATGCCATTACAACGGAGACAGAATTTCAAGACGGGGCACCACCACACATTTTTAGAGGCGTCATTCAGTATTTGAATGAACATTATCCAAATCGCTGGATCGGTCGAAATGGTCCTGATCCTCGAAAATGGCACGCAAGATCTCCTGACCTCAATCCGATGGATTTCTGGTATTGGTGAGAACTTAAAGGGATGGTTAATGTGGCTGGTCCAATAACAACTGAAGCACAAGTTCGCGAAAGAAATTTTAATGCGGTTGAAATAATAAATGGACAACTTCGAGGACCTAGAGTAAGAAGAAACTGGGTTCGTCGTAATGAAGCTTGTGTGGAAAGTGGAGGACGACATTTTGAACACCTTCTTTAGATACAAAAAAAGTGCAGTAGGAGTTTTAAAAAGAAAAACAATGTACCTGTATTTATCATCTTTATTTACACTGCTTTCCGTCGTAGGAAAAGAAAAGGAGTGTGATTTTCTATTAAAGTCAAGAGTAGAGACACAATAATCGTTGTCTTCTCGGGGTATGAAAGTATCATTCGGATTTTAAGGCTTTGAAGCCAGAGACTGAAAAGCTTTGTAGGCTTCGAAAATTGCGTCAGTATTGGCGGAGTTACCGCGCGTTATATCACAAAAAACACAAACAGTAAGGCGCAATAACCAAAGAATGCAGTGCCATCTGGAATTTCTCTCGTAATCTCGCACTGCGACACTAGCAATTATTTGGTTGGGCGATACAAGTAAATGCCGATTTGATCTGAATAAATTCCTACGATCAACAATGAGCGGCACTTAGTTGCGATCTCAGTCAACAATAACTTTCGTTATTTCTTCGTGAATGCAGATCAGCAGGCCCTGTTCTGATTGGCCGCGATCTTGGTGACCTTCATTCCAATTCCGATGCTGGTAACCTTGGAGCAGATTCGTTATTAGAGATAAGTGATAGAAAGTCACCAAAGGACAACGTCAGGCCACCAGATCGACCACACCGCAGTCCAACAGACCAAACTGCTGTTATGGCTCGTAACTAACTAGATCGTGCTAAAGTTAACATATAAGTATACGGGGTGTTTCAGTCGCTAGTATCGGGTATAGGTTTGGGTAGATATTTTGAAACGAGCTATCAAATGGTAACAATAAAGCACTAAGAAAATACTTAGAGAAGACAGTACTGTTCTTCCTCAGATTCATTTCATTCGTCAATACTTACAGTGACCCATCAGTATTTACCAGAAAACGTAGTATTTATTAAGCATGTAGCATATGATACAGGGTGTTTTCAAAGTTGAGTCATTTATTTTCACTGCTTGTAGGAAGGACTACTTTTACACGAAATGGAGTGCACAATTTCCACAACAATCATGTTTGGGCAGTAGAAAATCTACATGCTGTAGTAAAAAGAACTCATTTTTATCATAGATTTCTAGATTAGATTTTATTGGACCTTACTCATTTCAACTTCGACTGACCGGTGAAATTTATTTAGAATCCGCCAGAATTATTAGATTTGCCTCTAAATGTGAGACAGAATATGCGATTCCTACATGAAGGGGCTCCACTACATTTTAGACGAGAAGTTCATGAACATCTAAATAATGAGTTATGAAGCCCTAGCAATGGACCCATTTCTTGGCCTGCTCGCTCCCCGGATTTAATGCCTTGCGATTTTTTTCTATCGGGCTATTTGAAAGAGTTGGTGTATCGCGATTGAGCAGTAAATACTCTGGAAGAACTTCAACAGCGCCCTGAAAATGCTTGTGATTTAATTCATGGACACCAGGATTTTATTTTTGAAGCTTGTAACAAATGGACACAATTTTGAATAGTTTTTGTAAAATCGGTATCTATTTAACTGGATAATGATTTTTTTTAAATAATGTAAGTTAACTCTCTGATTATGCAAATTTTATTTAGGTAATTTTTGGTATATCTACTTCTTGTGACGAGTTCTACAAGCTGTTAAAATAAATGTCTCAACTTTGAAAACACCCTGTATATTTCTAAAAATGTGATCCCCTTGTTTTATTTTCTCGTTCTCCTCTCCCGCGTGTTAGATTAGGAACTTGAATTTCCTGTCGCTTTTTGATGCTGTATGCGAAATGAGAAATAAAAAAAATTCATAAATATTCAGAATTTATGCTAAATCCTTTCATTTCCGAAATGCTGGAAACACCTGCGAGCGATCCTTTCAGTATCAGGTAAAAAAATAAAACATATATTTTGGGTATTTATAGAGCAAAATAATCCAAAGCTTCAGAAATCACAAAGCCGCGATGTTTTATGAGGTAAGATTAGGATTAACTTATTTTAATTCGTAGTGGAAAAATTGTAGACGTGTTTAGCCAATAGTTAAAAAAAAACAGCGGGAGTGACATATGGTTCTAATACTGGTTGAAATATATGGTATCTTGGCAGAATCGTTAGTCCTAAGAACTTCAAGAAATATTGCTCACAGAGGATCTTCAGTAGACTTTAGTCTACATTTAGCTGGAATTTCCTGTATTTTAGGAGCAGTTAATTTTATCACAACCGCTTTGCTCAATGAGGTAATTTGGGGCGCTGAATATGAATATCATAATGAAGCAGGTCCTTGTCCAATAGAGGAGAGTTTCCGAACGTACGAAGGCTCAGTGAAGAGTCGTGAAGAAAAGCAGAGGAAAATAACCCGTAACAAAATGCAATATGGCACCAGGTTCCACGATAATGCGAGTCGAAGGCCTAAAAGGGCATCTCCCATCAGGATAAAAACATAATGAGATCAATCGATTTGACTTTTTTTTCTGGCTAAATCCGCAAAATTGCGTTATAGTCTGCCGAGTTATAACTAAGAAGTGAAGTTTCCCGAAATTTGGCCATCAAGTTGGACGGAACCGCACTAAACTTTTGGATGATGGAAGGCACAAATGTCAAAACGAAGTAACAAAAAGAACACTTCACAGATGGTGAAGGGGAGATTAACAGAAGATTTTTAAGAAACCATAGATAAATACTTCAGGGGTTGGAGGCAGTTAAGTCCAAAATATGTTAACCGTTGCTACATTGCTAATGCTGACAATCTTTGCAGGATCACAACAGTTACTACAAGGGTTCCGGATGAAGTTCAGGGTTGATCCACAGGCCACGGTACGGACCTTTATTAAAAATATAAATTATCTTCCTTATGCTTTGTAGTTTTTTCTATGATTTTTCAAAATACGCTCAACCTAATGGCTCACCATGTAAGTGAACGTTCACTGCTAGGCGACAGGTGTTTCTCAATTTATGCTAAATCGTTTCATTTCCGAAATGCTGGAAACACACCTGCGAGCGGTCCTTTCAGTCTCAGGTATAAAAAACATGTATTCCATATATTTTGTGTATTTATAGAACAAAACTATCCGAAGATTCAGATATCTGAAAGCTATATTGTTTTATGAGATAACATTAGGACTAATTTATTTTAATTCATCGTGGAAAAATTTGATACTGGTTTCTCCACAAATTGAGAAGCGGACATTTTATCATTTGTTTTAACTATTTTCGGTATTTATTATTTATTTGGTATACTTGTAGCTCACTCGTATAAAAACTAAAATAAGCGATTTTAATACATTGAACGTTCACTGTTATGAGACAGCGTATTTCTCAAAGGTTAAAATACATTCTCTGCAGACAAAAAGGAACGCTCGCCTTTGAAGGTCTTCCAGTTGCACTCAATACTCTTGTCAGTATCGGCCAACGTACGAATAAAAATATTTTATTTCTTGGTTTCATGTTTTCGATATATTCTGTTTGTTAGGGCACATTGATATTTATTTCCGCGAAATGATAAAACATATGTTTCCATACACCATACACATTATGTCTTCCTGTTATAATATTTAATGCTTTAGGAAAAGAAATGACGTCAAGTAAGTTGACTCCGTATGAGATGCATAATACAAAATTAAATGACCTTCATCCTGTCGGCGCACATGATCGTTGCTATGACTAATTCCGCATGGATGACGATATTGACTTTACAAAGCCCACTGACATTGATGTTCGTTTCCATCTCTTGACATTTAAGAGACTCATCAAATCCACTCAAGCTGCATACTTGACATCATTTTTTTAGTAGCCGAATTAGTAGATAAAATCAATAATTTTCGCGCACACTTTTGATCAGCATCATCCGTAAATATTATCATTAGATATTCCGCAATGGAAAAGATACGAAACCGATATTTAAATTCTGTTATCGTATCAGTCCTATCAAGGTGAACATAGATAGGATACTCATCTCACAATATACGCATTACATTTTCACGGGAAACGTTTCCTAATCTATCGTTGCAATCTATTCAGAATTATAAACAGTTTCATCGTTATTTTACATGTAACCTTTAATTACTGAGGTAGATTAATTAATGGGCATTTTGCAACGGTAATAGTCATCATATATCCATATGAAATTATATCGTGACGAAAGGACAATACCGGATGTTTCAGGTTTGAGTTTCACCATAACCAGGATTTAGGAAACGAAATTTTTTGGTGTTTTGTGTTTCAATTTGGAAGTCCATGACAGCGCGATATTCAAGCTCATCGACGCAAGTCGTTTCTTCAAAAATTCATCTAGACAAACTACTTGAGAGAACAAGTTGAAATTCATTATACGAATACGTATCCATGCAGAAATTATTAAATATCAAATGCGGCATTATGTCAGTGTCAGGCCGAGAACTTCTCCCCTTATCCTCGTAGTATTGCATTCCAGATTTCTCCCGAACGCAGCTTTAACGCCTTATTACAAATTGGCGGATGGCGTTTTCGAGAGAGATCGCGGATGAGGGAAGCAGATGACACAACGATAGATCCATAAGAAAGATGTGATATCTCTAAGTTTGTCCCTACGAGGAGATGGGAAGCCACCGATACCACCCGCGCCATCTAGCGATCGATGCTACGACTGCACGACCATAGACCTTACCTTACCAGCACAAGTATTACGTATCTTTAAAAGTGACAAGATGTTAACTTAGCACTAGCTGATGGACACGTTGTGAACTCGTTTTGTAGTTGTACGTATTGCCTAAACGTGATGAGGCTCCAGTTGTCAACACATTCACTTTTTCTTATCCATTCTGGAAATTACATATGCAAATTTGCTGAATTTCAAGATAAGAAATCATTATATTCACTGTACGCTGTCGAATTACAAGTCATTTACATGCTAACTGTAATTACCGCGGGCGCGGTGGTGAAAATGAAAAAAAAAAACGAAAAAAATCGTAATTTATAATTTTGAACATAACATGTCTTCAGAAAGGACAACATATAAATGACTCTTCGGGCACAGCTGATACTCGTAGATATACTTCATTGGCAGCAAATTCAGTAATGATTTACTCACACAGCAAATATCACTGATTTTATACACATACAGACCAATACACATAATCATCCAGATGCGATATTGCTATTCAAACAATTTTCTTCTCAGAGACGAAAACTACAGACTATGCGGCTTTACAAAACGTAGGCAGCCAACAATGCGTATAGTTGAGTCATTCTTCCATAGATGGACGCTCACAACGATCCTAGTAAGCAAACGTGGAATGACTGTTCGCACCCTAAAAACTACCTAGTCTGCAAGATGACATTTTATGAGTTTCTTTGACGTTCTATAGGTTTTTCACATAACACCCGTGCTGGCCGTGCGAATTATGTCCAAATAGAGTAGCAGAATGAACGGAATTTGTGTGGCGGAATATTGGACACGATTACTGACAGGTTGGTGACGTATTGTCACTTCTCGTTCAGTAAAAACCTATGTAAAACGGAGCTCGGCTAGTTCATCTCATCAGTAGACACTGCGCATGAGGTAAACCTAGATATCAGTGTCCCCAACAATGCGTCCTTACCTGTTTTTGTGGTATGTGAAAATAATAAAATCTGAAATGAATGGATGTTATACGTTAAAAATCTACTTACACAGCGTCTGTATGACGAACATGGTGGCGAATCCAGCGCAGATGGCTACCAATTGACACATGCCGTTGTGGCTGTTTCCCCTTTCTCTGGCCAACACCTCGAAGAACACAACGTAGAGCAAAGTGCCGGCAGCCATGGCTTGCAAGCACACCGCGACCACGTCACCCGCTCCTGAGGCGTCTCCCGCTCCTGAGCGACTGCTTAGGATCAGACCGATGCAGATACCTGAAATTTTCTGTTTGATATTTGGAATCTACTAAAATTTTAAGCGTTATGGTTGCTGGTTACCTTGAAATGCACAGAAGAAACGTTAAAAGATTGGGCTTAGATTTTCAAACTTCGTCACTGCGAAAATTTATTTGATACGTCTCAAGGAGCGTCGAAATCGAGGAACATAGAAATGTTTTTTAAGGGCTTTCCCTAGCCATCAAAGCTAGACCGTGCTGATGATTGCCAATAAGCACGATACAGCTGAAAACAGCTAGTCCTAGCTTTTCAATGGTTAGTAGACCAGTATCTACTATATCGCCGGAATAGACGGCATCAAGCGGTCACAGTGGAGACGCGAACTGAGACACTTTACAGTTTCAATCAGGGGCGGATCCAGGGGAGGCAACGGTGTCCTTGAACAGAAAACTTCGTAACAATATCCAGCGGTTTTATTTTCTTGTCCCTAGTTCCAAAGCCTCTGATCAATTTCCAAAATTCACGTCTACCTAAACGATGGAATTATTAAAATCGCGATAATATTCGAACTTCAGATCGAAATTTTTTTGTTGCTCAAAGATATCTGCATCAGGCAAGTCCGTGTTTCTCATTTATGTTGGTTTGTCAATCCGTGTATGTTGCATATCAACGCGTCAAGTTCTGCGTCAATCTACTTGACGAAATATTTAGAGAACCATCATAGACCTAGTGATGCAAATTAAAAGTGGCGGCACATTTTGGGATCACCAAATCCAGAAAGATACAGGGTGAACACGTTAAGATAGTCATCATTTAAATGGGTGACAGAGGAGGTTAAAAGAAACAAAAAGTTTCATATAACATGGCGGTCAAAACGGCATTTTTTCTTTTTAAAACCCACACTGCATTTTTTGTATTTAAAGGAGGTGTTCAAAATGTCGTCCTCCAGTATCCACACAAGCTTCATTACGACGAACCCAGTTTCTTCTTACTCCAGGTCCTCGAAGTTGTCGATTTATTATTTGTGCTTCAGTTATTATTGGACCAGCCCCATAAACCATCCCTTTAAGTTCTCCCCAATACCAGAACTCCATCGGATTGAGTTCAGGAGAATTTACTGGCCATTTTCGAGGATCAGGAGCATTTCGACCGATCCAGCGATTTGGATAATGTTCATTCAAATACTGAATGACGTCTCTAAAAATGTGTGGTGAAACTACAAATTCTGTCTCCGTTGTAATGGCATATTGTCTAAGGTCTGTTCCAAAAGTTCTGGTAGGTTATTGGCTAGAAAGCTAAGGTATCCTTCTCCTGACAACGTTGGGGGTAACTCAAATGGGCCGATTACCTGATCGTCAAGAATACGCGCCCAAATATTTATTTTAGAACGTTGTTGATAAAGCAAATGTTCCCGTAGGATTCTATGGACTACGGTATGCGATAGTCCTACACGGCGGCCTAATTCCCGAGTGCTGATATCTGCATTGATTTCCACGATATTTAAAATTTGTTCCTCCTGCTCTACAGTGACCTGTCTTTCACAAGTGCGAATATTAGTGGGTTGAACACTTCCTGTATCTCGAAGTATTTGGTACACTTCCGCAAATAAACACGACGACGTACGCGAACAAAAACGAAACAACACGCCCGATGCTCTGTTCGACAAAACGATAAAGTAATTTATCTATGCAAAACCACTGTTACCGTTTGCGATCGATTGCCGGTTCGATAAGAGTGATGAAAAACCGACGCGCTGTGGTCATGTGTGTTTTGAATATTTAATTGAATGAAACTTACTTACTGACTACAAATTTTGGCTTAACTTAGAAAAACTTAATTCCATTTATTTGTTAATCACCCAATTTAAAAACGTTTTAGATTAGTCTATAAAAAATAGTAAGATTGTGTTGATTGTGGTCGATATAAAGCACTTAAAGTTGTAAACTATAAAGCCATTTAGACAAAAATCTATTGAATTTTGGAACTTTTTGACTTGTTTTGACTACCCCCCCCCCCCCTATTACGCATTTCAATAATACCATAACGTTTACACCCTGTATATGTTTAGATATAAAAACAGTTAAGACGTCATTTACAAAATATATAAATATTGACGACATTACCACAAATTCACCAGTTGGAATTTGTTGCCCATTACACAGTCGGCAGTGGCCTCCACGACGATGCAGTTATTTCCAATTACGAGCACATTATACATCGCTTCTTAATGATGAACGTCTTTGACTAATACTACAGACTTTACATTTACAACCCCCGGCAACCCCCGACGCCCAAGTTTTTTTAAAATGATCAGGAGAGCCCCTGAAAGGTCAATGTTGGTAAAGGCTTGTGATGAATCTGGATCTTCGTCTAGAAGGTGTGTATACTGTTCTTCACATTGCTTACTGCGTAAAAAATTATGCAGAACGCAGGTAGTTTTTACTATTAAAATTGTAGTATCTGTTTTCGTTTCCATGGGCCTAGAAAAAATTCTTCACTTTTGACTTAGAATCCCAAAAGCATTTTCCACTACTCTCCGCGCCCTGCACAGCCCACTATTGTATTTTTCTTTTCTAGCGTCTGCTTTCGACTGTCTATATGGAAACGGTCTCATTAGGTAGGGTTTAAGGGCACATCCTTCATCTCCAATCAAAACATGAGGGCATGCTTCCCTCTGTCCAGGTAGAGGCTTATCTTCTGGAATGTGCATCAACCCAGCTTCAAATCGTTGTCCCATGGTAGATGCCTACTCCGTTCTTCCTCCGCCAAAGCAAGATATAGAATTGCTTCTTCTTCATCTGAAGAGTACATGTTTTAATTTGATTTTCAAGCTACACTCTCACACCGTTTACTGCCAATCCACCGCGATCCTTTCGCTTCGATATGAAAGCGCTCAGATGTTATATTGCCACCAATATCGCAGCGGATTAATCGCGTTGGTTTGGGGGATCCTTTACGCTTATCAGGTTCGCGACGGCGTTTTTTTCACCGTCTGCACTAGCGCGGCGCGGTTCGTCGCGTGGCTCGGTTCGCGGTGTTGTTAGATATCTGTACATAGCTTAATGCGGTTCCAGAAACTTACCAAGAGGCGTAACGATGGCGAAGGTCCCGATGTAGAGTATCAGCAAGGCAGGCCTCGTCCTTGACGTGACCAGCTCAACGCCCACGCAGAAGGCGATGACTAATTTGTGCGTGGCGATGGCTGCGAACAAGTACCACACCTTCTTGACTCCAGTTTCAAGGCCTACCGCGAGTCCCTCGAAGACTGCGTGGAAGGAGAGAGCTAGGACTGCCAGCAGGCCGCTAAGGCTTCCTTTGATCGACGTCGCTAGGTGGGAGTGGCCTCCTTGACCATCTAGAAATAAGGGAAATTATCTTGTTTTTCGAAGTATTATGACAAAATGACTATCTGAGTTCAAAAGCTTATTCTTACCATGTTGATGATTGTTATTATTAACCGCTCCCTTCTCAACATTTTCGCCTTTGATGGGGGTTGGCAGCGACTTGGTTGGTTCCTCTTTGGTGGAGTACCTCCTCACCGATAGAGAGCGTTGTAGAGCGTCATGTTCGTGATCTCCTTTCCTTTCCAGCATCAGGTGGACTGCCTCTTCCACCAGATACACGAAGAAAAAGCCAGCACAAAACACTAGCTGCAACAGAATCAAAAAAAATTTATTATAGATACAAGAAGTGATGATGTGGGGTACCATCCAAAGGTTAACCGCTGCCTTTAGCGAGCAGGGGAGACCGGGGATGGTTGACTAGAGGGGTAGGTAGACTAACCGCCAAAAACTCGTCAACGATATGAGTATTACGTCATCCCGGCCCGGTCGCGCACAGCGTTGCCAGACGTACGATAATTATCGTTTTTGTACGATCATTTCAAGTACTGTACGATGTACGATAGTATGTGTAGGATAATAGCTGAATGTACGATAATTTTGCGAATGAGCCTTTTACTCACAGATTTTGAATCAATCTAACAACTATGTTCAATTAACGCCAGCAAGTAGCTGCCATCGTTGCCGCTTGGTAGACAAACGCGCGTACCCCGCTCTGTACTATGGGTTGCCTGCGAGAGACCTGGAGGTTTTCACTGCAAGAATATTGTACAGAAAAGGCTTTTTCCAGCTCTACTAACCTTAGGCAGTTCAAAAATCGGATAAACAAAGCTTCTTTGGGATTCTCATAGCAGCCGCGGTGCCTGGCAATTTTGCTGCGGCTGATTTGGTGTACAAAAAATATCGAATAGCAGTCATGTTATCACTTATTTTTAAACATTTCGGACTATAGAGTTCAGTTGTGAAACCATCACGCTGTAATTGCTAGGATACAATTTTAAATGACATTTTGCTTAACCTAGGTGTTTCTGTTCCCTGTTATCTTGATCTACCTAGGCAAAGAAAAGCTACTTCTCAGTGGGACATACGGATTTCGCAGCTTAGCAGTGATAAAATACTACTCTTTTTCATTAAAAATATTCAGGTATGCATAATGCATGCTTGCTGTAATAGCAGCTTCTTCGGTCAATAAACGAATTTTTCCGTAACTCTGTTTGTTGTGGTTTTTGGCGATAAATGATCCGTTTAAGATCACCGAATCTAATCAATTTAATGGAATGTTTACATTATCTAACCGCGGTCAGTAAAAAATGGTGTAATATCGGTTAATCGGTCAAACATCATTTACGAATTTCATTTATTACAACAATTCAGAGCAGATTCCCTATTTTCTGTAATTCATTCTAACACAAGCCATTCGAGTCATCATTTAATGATCAATCTATGGTATGAATCTCTTATAGCGATAAGACGCAATAATATGGGCAATATGATATTTCCAAGATGTCCTACCACTGACTAAAAGTTTTTTTTTATGCTCCAACTACCACGAAGGCCTAAGGCCTGAACACACATGGGTACCGTGGGGCTATCGGGGTATACAGGGAAAACACGGCGAGGGAACACGTGTGCATGCAACACGCACACATTCTGACCCCGCCTACGAAATCCGCCGGGTGGTACCTCCGCGTTCGTCAGTCAGAGACCGTCTACCACCTGCGGACAATCACAACATCCATGGCTAAGAGAAAAATGTCTCTTGGGGCGGGATTCGAGCCCGCACAGCGCACGGCGACTGATCAAGAGACCGAAGAGTCTACTACTGCGGCCACCGCTGCTCCTCTTAGGGCCAATTTCACCACCATTAATATTTGACGGTCAGTTGGACCAATAGGAAAAGACGTTATCGAAATGCAATTTGACGGAAGCTGTCAAAGCTCTCTGAATATCAGTGCCTTCAAATTACTCCTCAAATATTGCAAAATGTGCGGCAATGTTTTGAGCAAAATCTTTATTATTGCATGGAGAGTCATGTCCTCCTCGAAAACAAAATCGACGGGTCTGAGTGTTTTTCAAAAAAAAAAAACTGAACTGCCAGTAAATGCGTATTTAGTAGAATGTTTTCACTGTTTTTGGCGACTGTTCATGCATGGCAATCTAGTTTTGTCTGTATATCACGTACAGGGTGTTGTACATAATATGTACCTGTAGAAATGTACCGATTTTTGTTATTTTGCAAAAAAAAAAAGATATGAAACGTATTAAAACTCGTTCATCATCTTTTGTTACACCATAAAGAATTTCTAGATATTATAAGTCAGAATCACAAATAACTATTTATGAAAATATATCTCTAGACATCTATTGCTTTTAAAGTGATAATAATAATATTCAATAAGCTGGTGATGTTTCAATGACAGGCTGTCATCTCACACTTTAACAGTATTTTGTTTTCAACATTTCATAGCTCTTGGTTGGTAAAATTTGTTGATTGGAACTTGAAGCTCATTCGCTGTATTTGACGGACTGTTACCCTATAGGTGGAGAATAACGGGCTGTTGATTTGACAATCCTGGTGACCCTTTATAAAGAGAGATCCACAGATTAAACGACAAAACAAGAATAAAAGCCAAAGGTTGGCAAACTCACCTCCGAAATAGGAATGGACATACTAGGCACAGCGCCATTAGCCTGCAGGAACCCAAACGCCTCCCTGACCTCAGGCTGAAGATGGATGAACGTGGTGAACAGCAATACCCCTCCTCCAAAGCAAAGGAAGAGTGAGATGATGAAGTTCTTATCGCCGTCCATGGCTGTGTTCATCTTCATCAGCTTGGTCAGTCTGCTGGGTAGTACGCCTAGGGCGAAGGAAGACAGGCCTAACACCAGCATGGCCACCACCTGAAAAACAAGGATTTAAATAATAGTAACAGTGTATTGTATGTAAAAGACATGTGAATATACTGGGTATTCTATTACCAGTAGGGCAATGAGAAATCTGTGCGCTCTGGTATCTTTATTGTTCTCCGGTGATGGAAGCCAATATACCTTGAGTAGAATGAATATCATTTAAAAAAAATGACGTCAAGCAGATTGACTCAATACGTCCTACGCCTATCATATTTCTGTTTTCATTGCAGATGTAGGTAGGGACCGATTTTTTTGCTTTACTTAACAATGCTTTTATCGATAAACAATAATTAAAAGTTACTTGAATCAGAATACCTAAAAATAAGCGTCAGTGACTTCTATTGTGGAAAGAATCAACAGCTGCATAGTGACAAAGATTCCTTATAGTCAACGACAAAGTTTTGTCTCCTAGTACATTTATTTCTGCCTGATATTGTTCCGATACCCTGATAGCAGTCATTTAATACACAGATTTAAGTGATGAGTCCAATTTTAACAAGGTTCAAACATTTTAAAGGCGCGAGCTTTCTGTCTTTAAATCCTGAAATATTGCACAATTTCCAGAGTGAATCACACTCGTAGCGGATCACCCCGAATACAACATACGATCGAGCACTTCGTCTTATCAATTTGGTTCAGTCTGATATCGACATATTTTTACCTGTACACTCTCAGGCTTCAAAAAGTATCTTTTAAATTGTGATATTATATAATAATGTTCTTGTGAGCTTGTATGTTTCAAATGTTACGAGGTTTGTTCACTTGAAACCCATCTTTGGTCAGGTTAGCCTTGAAAACAATTCTAATCCCTTAACTGACGTTTCGCAATGTTAGTTGTATTTTTAAACGTCACACTGATCAGTTCCTCCGATTTGTATTTGACTGCGATTTTAAGTATTGTGACCTAGGAATGGGGTTTGTTGTTACCAATCCGTCTAAGTATAATCAGCGTGCGGTCATCCAATGTTTGCGTATCCAAGTGTCAAGGGATGATATCGAAAATTTAAGAGTCGAATATAGGAGATGGTGGTATCTCATTCCAGGCAACCACCAACTCCTCTCGAAGTGCTTCTAGAGTCTGAGGAGGACGTTGCAAATTGAGCAATCTCCTACCCATCATATCCCACACGTGCTCAATTGGGGATAAGTCGGGAGATCTTGGTGGCCATGGTAACAATGTGACATCATTATGTTGAAAGAAGTCTATCGTGACTCTTGCAACATGTGGTCGGGCATTATCTTGTTGGAAAGTTGGATCTGCCAGGGTGTCAAGATAGGGTAAAAGATGGGGTTCTAGAACGTCGTGGATATAACGTTGCGCGTTCATGTTACCTCTGATGAAGATTCAAGGTGACCTGGAACCATAAGCTATAGCACCCCAAACCATAACTCCAACAGTGTGATGAACATGTCTTTCAACAAAAAACTGTGGATTCCTCCTTTCACCACGTCGCCTTCTAACCCTGGCACGACCATCGTGCATGCCTAACCAAAATCGAGACTCGTCACTGAAGACAGTACTGTTCCATTCCTGATCCCAGAGTGACCGTTGTCTGCACCACTCAAGGCGATTACGTCGGTGTTCTCGAGTTAAAGGGAGGACCCAGTGTGGCCGGTATGAAAACAAGCCAAAACTTCTCATTCGTCGGTAAACATTTCGGATGCCAATAGGTCTTCCGTGTTCTGCAAACCATTCATTTGCAATGGACCTGGTAGTGGAGAAACGGTCCCTTAAGGCCAATAATCTTAGGCGGCGATCTTCACGGTCTGTTGTTCTACGGGGGCGTCCAGTGCCCCTTGCTCTTTGCGTACGACCTTCTCGAAGCCATGCCTGACAACACCTAACCACAGTGTCTACACTTCTTTGCACTCTAACTGCAATTGCCGGAAAAGAAAGTCCAGCTTCCCGAAGTCCCACTATACGGACCCTATCAAACTCACTAAGTTGACGAAATCGTACAGGTCTCCGTACTCTAGGCATCGTAACCGATCGTAAAGGATGTCAAGAACCAAAATCCGCCAACGTTGATTCTTTACTGCGGCTGAAATATTCATTTTTAGAGCGTTAGTGAATTAAAAAAAAGCAGTATAAAAACCGGAATGTCCAACTGATAAAGCTGAAATTTTTTTCACTTGTTATTTACAGTAAGATAAATACATTCATCAACTTTTATTAAAATAAAACCATTTAAACTGGGTGTTCGGATTTATATGTCGCTTAGTATATTTGTAGATATATTTGCCAATAACTTTTTTCTAAACAAACAAACCTCGTATTATCGTATATTCTACGTAAGTTTGTTTAGTAAAAATGGGGTTACCCGTGATTTTAGTAAATAAAATAAAATTAAAAGTACGTCTTTTTACCTTGGCAATGATAAGATCGTTGTTAGAAGACGGAAGTGCTGCCGAGATCACGGAGTTGGTTCCAGTCGTGTTGCTGTCCATCTTGGAAGCTCACTTGTAACTTTTAATTGTACTTAGATGGAATTGAGAGTTTCGATGTTTTAAGTGCCGTGGATGGTGTCTCACATATCTTCATACGTCTGCAAAAAAGGAAAAGCGATTATTAAAAAGTTTCAAGGATGGAGTGTGAGAGTACAAAAAATTGTAAAAATCTTTAGTGCATCTTGCATTGGGATGTTCACATTTTATATATTTTAAAATATGTATAAAATTATGCCATACCTTGATCGAGCCGCAGTTAACCTACGGTATATGGCATGGGGAGCTACATGCTCAACTCATATTCATGACTTAGATACTTTTCAAATAACCATCTTAAAAACAATGTTTAACTAACCAAAATTGTATCCAACTGATGTCTTATACAAAGATACACATGTATATGACTTAAAACAGCTTTATCTCTTACATGCTAAATCCAACTATCACAAATGTATCAATAACGACCAAAAAATTAAACATAATCACCACAAAGGCATAAAGGGTTAAAATCCCATAAGAAAATGGACGAGGTAGCACCCAATCCAAAACAATTGAACATAAGGTACAAAATAAAAGCATGCTACTCCATAAACTTGTATTTGGAGAGTAATATCCCAGCATCTGGAAGTAAAACAAACGGCCATAACCTCAACATAGAAGTAAACGACGTAGAACACCTAACTTTGTAAAACAAGGTTAAAATGAGAGGCTTTGAAGAAGGTAGGTTCGATAGGAAACCAAAAGGAACGGAGAACAACCGGTAAAGAAAGTATCTTGATAGGTAAAGAAGGTATCTCGATAGGAAACCAAATATTCCTATACAGGCTAGTACGTACAGAAACCACACGAGGGACCAACGATATTTTATGAGAAAATTTCTGAGATAGTCGTTAATAATACTATAACATTAATGTTCAAAAGATTTGAACAAAGTACTGAGTCGCTGAGAAATACGTGTGAAATTATACAATCAATAAACTATGGAATTTGCCAAAAGAAAATCATTAAAAAGGGTTTGGCCTAGGAATCGGCACTCTTCCATTAATAAAGAGAAATTTAAATTACTGGTAAGATTACGTGATTTTGGCACGTTACAGTATATCGATGAACAAACAATTTTATCATCGTATTCTTCTTGAATATAGTGTTGAATCTGGAGAATCTCCGGATTACGCCACAGTATTTTTTTCCAACTCACTTTCACCTTCAAGTATTCATCAGAGTTCAGAGACACTCGGATGTTTGATAAAGACGAATGTAAAATCCCATCCTTCAGAAGGCTGCAGAATCCATTGTTATTGAAATTTCAATAACAACAGACCGGATTTTCGCGCAATTATATCGTCAATCAATTTGAAGCGGACACAATAAAAAATGATGATTTAAGTGTGTACAAATATAATTTTTGATTTCTGTGAATTTGATTGTGTGCTGCCTATTAACAGGGAACAAAGTTAAATATCAATGTTCGTTAATTTTGATCGATTGTTGTGGATTAGTAAATAACATATTATTTTTCTGAATGATAATATTGCGCAAATAATACTAGTACAAAAAACTACGTCAAAATAGAACATATAGGAAAAACAGAAATCGAAATATGTTTCTGATAACGTTTTAAAAATACGTATTGAAATGAATTGCAGAAATATTTGTAGATCTATCCGAATCGATTTGAATATTTTAAGTGGAGGTCAGTAAACAACTGATCTAAATAACCATAACAAAATTGTTAACTAGGAATTTAATGCAATTTGAGAAGGTAGTTATGAACCGTCTTCCACTTTTTCAAGTTATTGAATACGATTTGATATCGGCATCGATATGACAAAATGCATGTATGGCTTGTCACAGAAATACCAGTTGGAATACAAGTGGGAATCTAGTCTTAAAAATTAATTCCTAAATCTATGCCACTACAAATCTAAAAACAGTTCTATCTGAGAGTCAGTTAGTTGCTATTTATTATGCTTAAGTCGAATCGAGATTGAGATACGTTTTGTGTTTCTGGAGCGTGACAACTGGCGCTTAGCTGCTATGTTTGAGCCAAAAAAGAGCAAACTTATATTCGAGTAACGATATTTTTGCCTATAAGGTTAAAAAATAATTTTAATTTGAATGTGTTTAAATATTGAAATAGTTGTATCTTGATCCCGATATATTGAAAATGAAGTATTGAATAGAAGTTGATACTTCAGTTCTTGAACTAGTAATATACAGGGTGCGCCATCTTTTATGTCGGTATGTAAAGATGAAATAACTTTGAAAACGAAAAACTGATTTCTATATTTCGGGTATTTTTATTAAATACGGTCCTTTACAATTTATTGGAACTAGTTTTTGAACACAACATCTATCAAGTGGCCACCGTTATTGGCCAAAACAAAATGTGCCCGTTTTGCTGCGTTTTCCATTACTTTTTCGATCATCTCTGGTGGTATAGCGGCTATTGCAGTACGAATATTTGCCTTGAGTTCTTCAATGTCCTCCTGTGGTATCTCATTCCAGGCAACCATCAACTCCTATCGAAGTGCTTCTAGAGTCTGAGGAGGACATTGCAAATTGAGCAATCTCCTACCCATCATATCCCACACGTGCTCAATTGGGGATACGTCGGGAGATCTTGATGGGCATGGTAACAATGTGACATTATTATGTTGAAAGAAGTCTATCGTGACTCTTGCAACATGTGGTCGGGCATTATCTTGTTGGAAAGTTGGATCTGCCAGGGTGTCAAGATAGAGTAAAAGATGGGGTTCTAGAACTTCGTGGATATAACGCTGCGCGTTCATGTTACCTCTGATGAAGATTAAAGGTGACCTGGAACCATAAGCTATAGCACCCCAAACCATAACTCCAACAGTGTGATGAACATGTCTTTCAACAAAAAACTGTGGATTCCTCCTTTCACCACGTCGCCTTCTAACCCTGACACGACCATCGTGCATGCCTAAACAAAATCGAGGCTCGTCACTAAAGACAATACTGTTCCATTCCTGATCTCAGAGTGACCGTTGTCTGCACCACTCAAGGCGATTACGTCGATGTTCTCGAGTTAAAGGGAGGACCCAGTGTGGCTGGTATGAAAACAAGCCAAAACTTCTCATTCATCGGTGAACACTTCGCATGCCAATAGGTCTTCCGTGTTCTGCAAACCATTCATTTGCAATGGACCTGGTAATGGAGAAACGGTCCCTTAAGGCCAATAATCTTAGGCGGCGATCTTCACGGTCTGTTGTTCTACGGCGGCGTCCAGTGTTCCTTGCTCTTTGCGTACGGCCTTCTCGAAGCCATGCCTGACAACACCTAACCACAGTGTATACACTTCTTTGCACTCTAACTGCAATTGCCCGAAAAGAAAGTCCAGCTTCCCGAAGTCCCACTATACGGCCCCTATCAAACTCACTAAGTTGACGAAATCGTACAGGTCTCCGTACTAAAGGAAGTCAAGAACCAAAATCCGCCAACGTTGATTCTTTACTGCGGCTGAAATATTCATTTTTAGAGCATTAGTGAATTAAAAAAAAGCAGTATAAAAACCGGAATGTCCAACTGATAAGGCTGAAAATTTGTTCACTTGTTATTTACAGTAAGATAAATACATTCACCAACTTTTATTAAAATAAAACCATTTAAACTGGGTGTTCGGATTTAGATGTCACTTAGTATAAAACAATGCTTACGCGTCGAGCACGATAGCGGTGGCGCGTACAAGTTGTAACCTGTTCAAATCTGCGTGATCTACATTAGCGAAGATTGTCAAATACGTATACATGTAATATTCAAAGACATGTCGGATTACAGGGGGTGCCGGATTAGATAGGGACCGGATTATCGGGGGCCCACTGTAATAGCTTTGTCCCAAAAGCTATTACCGACAATTATAAACAAAAACAACTGCACGCACCCAACAAATAATGTCGCACAGTTCACCTTGAGTGGAAATCTCACTCGTAGTGTAACAACTGAAAGTGAAATTAATCACGCTAGCCGTTATTTTTTTTACCGAAAAAAAGCGGGTTGTGATACATACTGTACCGATCAAAGAAATCTAACCTTCGATGTACGTACATAGAAATTGTAACGCTATTATATAAAATGTCTCTCGCATAGATAACAGTTTAGTTGTAACAGATAATTCAATTGTCGATTTATCACACTTTCTATATGCTTTTTTCGCAACCACGGTATGCTAGACAATTAATATTACGCTTTGCAAGATACAATTCCAGTATAACAAGCTGCAGGACGCTTAAAGTCTAAAGAAAAATTTGACGTCAAGTAGGCTGACTCTGACTCCCATGAAGGAATAACTTCAGCTCAAGTTAAACTATCTGAGAAAAAAATTAGTTACGGTTACCGGTAATTACCATCCATCTGGCAACGTTGTCCCTTCCCATATCATCAGACGCGACGGCGCGTACCGAAGCGCCGCCGCAATACGGGCAGAACAATAAACCCAGATCGCAGAAGTAAACGCTTATCGAAAATGAGTTTTGAAGACAAATGTGCGGGAAACCTATGATGTGTAAAATATGACTAATAATTGTGTAAAATTTTCATCCAAAGTTGAGCAGTAGTTTCCTAGTTATAAGGAGGCCAAACAAACCGACAGAAATGACTGACATGGTCTCTCGTGTACATGTTGCGCTTTTAAAGTTGATTCATTTATTTTAACAGATTGTAGGACTCTGCAAAAGGAGTTGATATCACTTTTATAAAAGTTGCATAATAAAACAAATGGTAAAATATTAAAACTTTAAAAAAAATAAGAATGTTATTACATAGTTTTTTTTGATATTCTAGGCCTCTGCCGTGTAAACTTTTAGAGTTTTCAGTTTACTACTCTTACCGTTTATCTAAATTTGCAAACGTAATGATATAATTATTATAATATTGTAATAGTATTTTCGAAATATTTCGCGATTGCAATACTTCTTCGCCCAGTTAGTTGCGAAGTAAAATCAGTTTTGTATAAATAAAATATGAAGACAGTATAGTGTTTTTCAAACGCCACAGAATGATATTTTCCAGGTATCCGAAATGAAAAATTCGAAGTAAAATAAAACCAGAATGAATATCAGATCATAGCTACTCA